AATAATTTTAACCCCAAATTTGAATAAAGCTATAATTAATTAAATTTTGATTAAATACGTTTGATTAAACAACTCAGATTGTTTAGCCAGAATATACATGCAGTTTAGGTAAAATTTTCTTTCTCTGCAAGGCAATTTTAAATTGCAGTAGGTTTCCAAATTTGTTTGCACTGGCAGCAGGTTAAAAACTAGTGCTCTTTTGGTGCCTGGAAGGGCAGAGAACTAACATTCAGCTCCCTGACTGTGCTTGGTACCTGTGCATGGAACAAGCGAAGCAGAGAACAGTTTTTGTCATTTGGACTGAAGATTAAGTTCAGACATCAAGAAGTGACCCAGATGCAGCTGAAGAGGGGCAGTTCTTGTAAAGAAAAGTGAGTCAGAGAGAGGGAACACGCTGCTACAGCTTGCTTATTGCTGCTGGACCCTAGTGTAAGAGCAAGGGTGACACTGGAGAATAAAGGAAACTTCAAAGAACGGAGCTCTTTCACATCTTCCCCAGACACTGAATCCATCCCTTCACGTGGGGATGCTCACCCACTGCTTTTAGGTATCCAAATAGCTACAGATGTGGATCTCCTACCTTTAGGAGATGGGGCTAAAAATTGTGCCCTATTGGCACAGTGATACGCTGAGAGCAGTCTCTGACTCTTTAACTGCTAGGTTTAACCATCCACCATAACTATTCCTTAAACTGCACACCCAGATAAAACCTCCAGCTGCTCCTAAAAACAACACCTCATCAACAAAAGCTAGCATGAATGCCTCAGGCAAATGCTTTGCTTTTGTGTGAGCTCCCTGCTGACTGAAGGCCCCTTTCTGACCATCAGAGATCACGACTTGGCCACAGATGAAAGGGAGGTGATATTCTTCCCTGTGCTCCAAATTTTTGCACCATTTACATTGCTCTGAAATCCCAAAGCTCCTAAGGGATGCCTGGATGGATGCAGACCCTTCAGAAGACAGGGGAAAGGTCTGTTGCCATTGCTGCTCCCAGGACTGTCTAATGGATGCAGTTAAATTAAACTAAGTTTGCTATATTAATGCTGGTTTGCATGTTTACTGCCTTGCCTGTTTCAGACTTCACTGAGCTGAATCTTAATAAACATACATTCTGAATGGATTTTTATTATTGTTGATTCCCCCTCCCATCCCCCCTGGTCATTAAGACTCATTATGTGGAGTCATCAGCTGTTTTGCTTCATATCCCATCTGTTCATACAGGACGTGGGATCCTAGATAATACTGCAGATGGGAGTGCCATTTCCACTACTTTGGTTTTGCTCCAGTGGGACTTCATGTGGCTACTGTTGGAAAAATTGCAATGGTTTTGATTAGAGATTTTCCATATTATAGATACTCATTAAATCTCAAAATTTTCAGGATCATGGCACTGACTAGAGTCAGTGGCAGTCTTTCTCTAAGAGGACTTTCAATCCTTTCCCCATCTACAACATCTCCATTCTCTGAAGTCAACAAGGACTCTTTCTTGAGAACAAATCTTGTGCAAGCTCAAGTCACAGGGAAAACCACCCCTGCCTGTGACTGGGAAGAACATAATATTCTGGTTCCATTCCTGTTAAATGAAGCAGAAATTGGAATCTAATGAGACTTTGCTATGCAAGTTTAATCTCCTAGAGCCCCTTCACATTAGTCATTCACTCCTGTATCAGTTAGATTGCTGCACTGGCACACTGCTTCTGGCCTCTGATGACTAGCAAACCAACTCCATTTTGCAGCCAGTGTATACCTTGGTCAACTTCTACCCATTTTATCTCATGCCTAATGCCTAAACTGTCCATTTTCTCAAATACTTGTTCTCTCTCCCCAGATTTTATTCCCTTTAAATCCATTTAAACTTTCACCCTCTAAAGCTAAATAAACTATTGTCTTCTATAGCTTCTTGCTTGAAAAATATGGTCTCTGCTTTCCTCATCCTCCTCACAGTTCTCAGGTGAACTTGTTTCAATTTACATGCACCTGCTGTGGTGTCAGGAGGCAAAGCACTGCTGTCAGTCCTAAAGCCAACCTACAGGCAGGTACCTGCTCCAGCTTCACCCCCTCTTACTGTTGCTTGGTGCCTCATTTTTTCCTGTTCTGCATTTGGAGATTTATTTTAGATCTCAGTTTTGTCTCAGGCACATCTTGAAAACGGCCTCCTCCTCTTCCCCCTCTGCATTAATTTGCTAACATAGGTTACGTGGCTACAACAGTATTTTGGTCAGTTATTCTCTGATTCCATTTTCTGGCACTTTTCTTCCAGATCTGTAATTCATATCTTGATTTCTCAGCCTCTCTGTTACTAAAATTGCAAGACACTATTTTTGGAGCAGGTGTCAAGGGTGAGCTTCTCTCCAGATGTAGAGGATGGAGGCATTTAATTGCACAGGGACGCTTCTCTGTGGTCACAGTGCAAGCTGCTATACCAGCACTGAGACCAAAGATTCCAGATGCTTTAACACTCTGCTGGTCCAGTGGCAGCTTTAGCAAGGATGAGCTTGTGTGGCTTTAAAGCAGGTGGCCACAGAGCCAGGAGGGGCTGTAGCTCTGCACCCTGTCATGCAGCAGGAGAGTGCCACAGTAGGGAATGACACTAATTTCAGCCTCCTGGGTAAATCCAAGCCTCATAAGCACAGCTGGTTACTGGCCAGGTAAACCTGCAGTGATATCTGGGAAGTCAGAGATGAAAGGTCCCATAATTGTTCAGGCTTTTCAGCCTCAAAGTGCAGAAACCCAAGAAGGCTCAGTCTTTGCCATATTTGCTCCTTTCAGTGGAACATGACTGCTAAAGAAAAAGTCAGTGACCTTTACCTTTATTTTCTGTTAAGCCAATCCTTTCATCAGAGAAACACATAGTTAACATGTTACCTAAGAGTCTATTGCATGAAAGGAGGAGCAGAGGAGAGATTTTCAATAAAACTAAAAATTGTTTTAATAAGGGACAATTGATAGGACAATTGTGAAAGAATTATATTTAAGATGAAGAATAATGTTAAAAAATCACCTATGCCTAGTGCAAACCTCTCTGGAGTACCCAGGAATCTCAGTCACAGCCTGAGTTTCGCATTGTGTTAGAGATATATGAACCTAAAGAGGCAAGGAGGGGAGATATATAAAGACAGGTAATGCTGGTAGAAGTCTGGAGACCTTTTAAGATGCCTTAGATATAAATCTGGTCCAAAAAAATCTTACAAAGCACACAATCATGCTTTCTAAACATAGGCTTTTACCTGTGCTTGGGCCAAACCATAATTTCAGGAGAAGGAGAATCAAAGCAAATACTCATAGGAGAAAATCTGTTGAAGCTGTGAACTGTTCACCTTTAACAGCAAGTAATGACCACGGGGTGCAAGATCAGATGGTTGACTTAACTGCCGAGCAGCGAAATTAGACTAAAAGTTAGATCTAGTCTGCCCAGAGGCAACATGACAAATTAAATTCATCCACTCCCTGTATTTGTGTAAATACACTTTTTTATTAGTGAACAGATTATAAAAGAGGTTTTTTTGCCTCAAGGCAGGGTTTTCTGGCACCGAACTAATTTTCAAGCTGAGGTTCTCCCCTGAGGGCACAATAAGACCCTCCCTTCTTTGCAGCCAGGGATCAGATCCTCAGCAGCTTTACCTGTGAACAGCTCTCAACATATTTGGAGCTTTAAAAAACTGCAGATTTCTTTCTATAAAGCTACATAAATGGAGATATATTTTAATAACAATGAAATACTTAGTATTTTTCTAAAATAATTCAGTGTGTTTCACTGACGATATTTATTAAAAATAAATTGGTCCAAACTCAACTCTCTGGGGCAGGCTTTGTAAACTCATACTGGCTCCCAGCCAGTGAGAACTGCTGGCAATGCAGGTGGCCACCCCTCTTCATGACAAGGCTGCAGCTCATAGCCTGAAAGTCTTGTGGCCCTGTGAGCTCTTGAAGTCAGTCATAAGTGTTAGTGTTTCCAGCACGAGGCCTCACTTTGCAGACACAGCTGCGTGGCATCCCTCTGACCTGCAAGGGAGCTGTGAATAGAGAACGCATTTCTTTTTCCTCTGAAGATGAAAGACTTTCAAAATTAATTGCATGACATTATGGCTTGTCTGTGTTGTCAGCTTTGATTTTGCTGTGACAAAATGACGGCCGCTCCCTGTCACGGAGAGCAAGGCCGTGCCTGTGAGCACTGCGCTCATCAAGTGGCAGCAGCGAGGAAAGCTCCACTGTGATCCTCATGGAAAGCAGTTTCGTGGAGTGGGATGCCAAGGGTGAGGCAAGTGCAGATGTTTCATCACGCAGGGGAGCCTACACGGCCATGGCTCACTGCAGCTGCTGTTGGCTGAGCGGTACCACACACAGCTCCGTGCCAGCTATCCGACTTCCTGACCCCATCCCCACAATCAGTCCAAACTACTGAGGGTAACAATCTCCAGAGGTGTCATTTTGGGCATTCTGAGCCCAAAATGCACAATCACTAGAGCTAAAATCAGAGCATTTAAAAGAGCAGCTCTGCAACTGCCTTAGCAGGGCTTTGCAGAGCAAGTGGGAACAGAAGCATAGGGAGAAGACCAACTCCTTTTCCCTTTAGAGGGCAGTGGTGTTCATTGTACGAAAGCTGCCTTTTCAAGGAGGTAAATCCCTCATCGATAACAACCGGGTCAGCATCAGCAGAGCAGCGGCAAGGAGTAGGGACCAGCACTGAAGTGGTGCCGCTGGATGCACTGCGCCATACAGGACAGCATCTCACCCTGATGTACTTTCTGTAATGCCCTGTGCAGGAGCTCATTAATTTCCCCTCATTTTCATGCATGGTAATCAGACAAGTAATTACGGTTCCACAGAGAGGCTTCCTTTCTCCCACCACACCATGAGCACAGCCCAGAGTGAAGTGCTCCTTACCATCAATGTTTGCCAGATTGCAGCCTCTCCTCCAGCCAGATGAGCCCTTCCTGCGAGACTTATGCCAAACCTGTTCAGAAAGCCAAATAAGAGGCGATTTCGAAGGCAGGACTAACCTTTTCATGGGTTTGGGGGAGGCCTCCCTCTCCAGGTTGGAGGACGCGTGTTTCACGTGCATGGCGTTGTAGGAGGTGTGGGTGTACTCGTTCTCATCGCTGTAGTCGGGACCCAGTAATGTTCGAGCCCACGTCCCCATGTCGTAGGGAGGCAGAGTCCCCCCAAATTCAGAGGGCAGGCATTCAGGGTGTATTAGCTGGTGAAGGCTGTTCAGGTTGTTACCATGAAGAAAGATCTTGAACAAATGAAAAAGAAAAGTTCAAAGTCATCATCGACTCCTTACTTCATTGAGTACAATAATAGCAGCACTAATGAGGTGTGGAGTGTCATTAGTTGACACTGCAGTTTCGGGTGGGAATTTCAAATGCTCTCAGGGCTGACTCAGTTGGCAGAAGAGGGGGGATTAATTTTGGGGTGAGCAGCTGAAGAATTAGGCTGGCACTAACACTGCTGAAAACTCCGATTCTCTTGCTTTTGGCACATGACAATTTCAGTTTCTTAAGTACCAGACCAGGAGAAGCAGAAGTCAGGAATTATGACTGATTATTGCTAGTGCAAGGGGATAGAGGTGTACATGAAGACTAGTGATAGATAAAGGATGACAGCAGAGCTTACTGAAGCAGCAGGAAGAGCACTACTTCAGAGTCTGAGAGGGCTACTAGCCCTGCACCCCAGGACAGATATTTTCAGGGGTGAATCAGGCTGTGTCACCACTTGGTGCTGCTTCAGTAACACTGGTTTCTCTAATCCCTCTTTGCTTTCAGTTGGGTCCTACCCTTGTCCTGCCTAGTCAGCTCAGGGTGGGCTCTGGGGTCTCCTGATGGATTATTCAGCTGTTGTTTCACAGACTGCAGAGAACAAATGGCTAGGATGACTGCAGAACCACCAGTTCACTGGGTTTCTGTGGAGAAGATCTGTCTCTTCTGCAGTGTGAGCAAACAGCCCTCAGGCATGGGTACTTTTTGTGGAAGCAAGTGAGTTACCATCATGTGAAAACAGTCACCCTGCTGAAGGAATGAAATAGGAATTTTTACTCCCACAAAAAGAGTTGAGCTGAAGTTTTCCTCACTTGCAAGCAACTTCAGCCAGGCCTGATAATCTCTCCATATTGCCAATTCTCTCTGTCCCTGAGCACGTCCCAGTAAAATATGTCCATGCTTTGTTAGTGATAACAGATTTCTGGTCCCTGGCTGAGTTACTGATTCAATCCAAACCATTCCAAACTCTAATTTTTAATAACAGCAGCGATTCTCTTATACCATGCGGAAAATGCAGAGAGAAAAACTAGAAAAGAAAACATACAGCTACATGGAAAATCCAGGTCTGCAGGTTCCTCTCCACCCCCACCCCTCACCCCCATCTAATTACCCTTTTCCTTGTCTTGTCTTTGAGGAACGGTTTGATTAGCGTGTACAGGGCATGGATGTACCAGGGCTGATTGACAAAATGGACTCCTCCAAAACGTGCAGGAAAGCTGTCCTACAGAAAGAGAGAAAGAAAGGAAGGAAGGCAGTTAAGAGATGCAGTGCTTTACTCCGGCAGTCAATAGGATGAAAGTCGCAGGAAAAATCTGTCTCTTTCCATCTGCAAACGAGCACTGGGCTGGCTGGGAGGGGGAAGGAGGGAAATAGAAAAACAAAAAAGATGCCTGTAAGCGTTTGTATCAGTTTCCTCTGTGGACAGAGGCGCCCCTCCACACGCTGACACATCAATTGCCGATGAGATGCTGAGGATTTAAAGTCGGGTCTCCAGCCACTTCTCATGAACATTTTTTAACTCCGCCAGGGCATCTGACTCGGCCGGCCTGGGAAGTGAGAAGGGGTTGATGAGCACCGCTCCCTCGAGGGGAAGCTTTCTAATTTCTCATTGTGCAGCGCCAGGCGAGCCCCCGGTTCCCACGCACATCGCCGCTCAGAGCTCACCTTTTCACCCTTCGGCCTCCCTGCCTCCCCCCGCTAAAATCATCATTACAATGGCTGACCTTTCGGGGTGAGCAAGCAGCACATTAGCGGGAGGAGGATGGGTGGGAAATGCTGATAAGTGAAGGTGTGGGGAGAGAGCACCATGACAGCACCATGGAAACTGCGGAGCGGCGCTCGCCGCCGCCGCCAGGCTCGGCACAAACACCCTGGCCATTAACATGCAGGTAGCGTCCCGCTGGCGAGCTGCTCGCTACAGCATCCCACCAGCCCAAGGGAAGAGGAGGTGCTGGCTGGCGTGTCTTTAAAGGTTATTGTACGTTGTGAAGGGTATTTTGTACCTACGATTTTATCTAACAAACGTCAGTCAAGGAAGAGCCTGGGATTTCTTTTTTTTTTTTTTTTTTTTTTTCGCCTGGCATAAATAATGGGACGACCGCTGTTCCTGTGTGCAAATACGCTTCCAAGGGGAGGAGAGGAGCCTGTCTCTCCGCTGTGAAGGGAGATCCTGATGAAGCCGTCCTCATCCTGTGTGTGCTCCTAACCCCTGCAGCTCAGCATGAAAAGCAGAGTATAATCAGGTCTCTTCCTTCAGGGCTTTGGCTCTGGGTCCCAGGCAGGTTCCTTCCCCCCACAATTAGCACAGGGTGTCCTGGGGCTTTCTCTCGCCTTCCTCCCGAACATCAGAGATTAAGCACAGCTGGTGAGAATGCTGGGTGGATTTGTGAGACGATATGAAAAAATCCCCTTATACACCTGCTCTGCAGTGCTTCTGTTCTGCTTCAAGGTCAATTTTTCCCCCAGATTTAGCGATATGTATGCATACACCACCTCCTGCAACCCAGGGCAGATCATCAGGATTCTCCATACTCTTTGCATGGATTGCCCTGGCAGTCATCTAAAACCATCCTAGAGTAATGTTTGTGAGCAGCCACAGCCATTAAGTGCTATCTTTTTCTTTTGCTATAAAGTGGAATAAGCCACTTCCACCTCAGGCAGGTCAGCTGACCTGAAATCATTACAAATCTGGATATTGGATATACTGTGAAGGACTATTGGATAATTAGGCCAGCGCACAGGAGGACAAGCAGTGTAACATCACAAGTGATCCCATTTTAAATTCCAGTAAATGATGAATTGAGCTTTTGAGACCCCATCTGGTCTGGGGTCCTTAGCCCAAGAAAGATGTCAACCTGTTAGAGTACAGAGGAAGGCCAGAAGATGATCAGATGAATTGAGCATCTTTCCTACAAAAACAGGCAGAGAGAAGTGGGTTTTTTCAGCCTGAGGAAGGGAAGGTCCCAGGGAGACCTCATTGCAGCCTTCCAGTACCTTAAGGAGGCTCATAAAAAGGAGGGAGAGGGACTTCTTATCTGGGCAGATAGTGACAAGACAAGGTTTAAAACTGAAAAGTAGGCTTGTTGATATCAGATATTAGGAAAAAATTCTTTTCTTAGAGGGTGCTGAGGTACTGGAACAGAAAAATTATGGATGCCCCATCCCTGAAAGTGGTCAAGGCCAGGTCAAATGGGGTCCTGAGCAGCCTGATTTAGTGAATGGCATCCCTGCCCATGGCAGAGGGATTGGAACTAGATGACTTTTAAGGTCCTTCCAGCCATAACCGTTCTGTGATTCTGTTCAGTGATTCTATGATTCTATAATTCTCTTTAAGGATGGCATATGTCCTGTTGGGGTGTTCATTTTCAATAAAGAAGAGTGTATCTCCACTGCTTTTCATTAGAGTTTAAGATGCAGATCTGATTGAGATAAAGTACTGCAGTGCTGAACATTGCAGTGACTTCAACTGACTGATGAGAAATTGCTCAGAGTCTGAGTCCACCTAGGAAAACACATGGACTGACAGAAATGTGAAGTCCAAAGTGTTTTTCTACCATATGATAACCTAAAATTGTGTTTTATAGCAGATCAGAGCCATAAAATGCCCATTTCATGCAAAAGTCACAAATTCAGTTGCCTTCCTCCCACATGGGAATGAAGATTTCAAGATTTGGAGCTCTTCAAAGATTATTTTAAAAATCCCCCACCAAACCTAAGACAAACTGGAATGTTCCATATTTGCCTTTATTTATTTATTTTATTAATTCTATGTTTGTCAGGCTGGCTGCCATCCCACGAGTTGTATCTATAAGGAAGATGTTTTGGACACCTTTGCTCTTTGGGAGTAAATTGCCACAGTTGTTCCCAGGCTGTACTGTAGCAGCTAATGTCAGTGTAGAAAATCCAATCTGAGTCTGAAGCACAGGAAAGTACAGAAATGAAAGATTGGATGCAGGGGAATAACTTTAAGACACAGAGATTTATACTGACCTGAAAAAGAAAAATTGTTTTGCGTTCTTGCTGGACTGCACAAATTATATTAATCATAAGTTTTAGTGAGAAACATCGGACAGTCTTCATTTTCAAGGGGGAACATATATTTTTTAGAACATGTTGACCAGCTTCAACAATACCCAGAAAGGTCCAAATACTGAGAATTATAGGAACCAGTCAGAGGCTTAAGCTGACAGTCTGCCTGTAGAAAAAAAGGAGCAGAATGCATTTTCCTATACAGAAAATTAATTTTATGTCCACCCAACATATATTTTTTGAGTCTATAAACTAAATTCTATCCCACATATCTAGTTTGTAGGAAAGCCCTTAACATAACAATTTTATTTAAAGGCAACTGCTTTCTTTTAATTTTGAAGGTACACCCAGAAGTGCACAAAGACCCTTGAAAAAGAAACATGACAGTCAGAAAAAAAACAACAACCAAAGAACATTTTTTTTTGTGTGTGTAACTTTTTTGCTAAATTTTGTTCCTTGCCCTATTAAACACATTAAGTTCAATTTGACCTCCATCCCTCAGTCCACCTGCATTTGTAAGGCTGTCAATTAGAACAAGGACAAAGACTTTTTTTTTTTTTTAAGACCCAAAGAAATTTGATAAGGGAATCATCCAGACACTGTTTGGAACTGCAACATACTAATTTTGTAAAAGTCCCTAATTAGAGCAGAGCTGTCTTGGAAAGAAAAGCTCCTGTCTGGAGGTCTGCCTTGTGCAGCTCCAGGAAGGAGTATGAGACATTTCCCACACCCCACTTAGTGTCTCTGCTGCTTTCCCTGGGGCAAGGTAAAAGTAGCTGAAATTGATTTTCTGCTGGAGAGCTTTTACTTTCAGGAATTCTCTTTTGATTTCTCATGTCTTGTGATTCCTTGGGAAGGTGTATTTTATAATGAGGTACATTTTTTGGAGTCTACTGTGAAATGGACTCTGGGATCATGGAGCCTTTTCTTAACCTGATTCCTTGTCAAAAATACCCAATCCTGAGGATATACTTGGGTTTTATTCCAATGTTATAAATGAAATGTAGTACACATGAGTTGGTCTAATTGTTTTTGGGCACTACTGTCTTCTCTTCTGAAAACAAGGCTGGACAAATTAACATGTTGCACAGCAATGAAGTTGCAGAGTAAATAAACACATCCAATCCAGTCCTAAGCAAGCTAACCTGCTTCTTGGAAATAGCAGGGAATGACAGAATCACAGAATGGATCAGGCTGGAAGGGACCACAGTCATCAGATCCAAACTCCCTGCTCAAGCAGGGTCATCCCAGAGCACATGGCATAGGATTGTGTCCAGAAAATTCTTGAATATTTCCAGTGAGGGAGACTCCACAACCTCTCTGGGAAATCTGTTCCGCATTGAGCATAGCAAAGAAGTTCTTCATGTTTAGGTGGAACTTCCCATGCATAGCTTTTTACCCATTCCCTCTTGTCCAATTGAACTTGCTGAGGAGGCATCTGCCCCTTCATCCAAGTGATTGATGAATAAGTTAAACTGAACCTTGTGGGACACCACTAGTGACAGGACTCCAGCTTTTCACTGTGATACTAATTATGGCCCTCTGGGATCTGCCTTTGAGCCAGTTCTGAATCCACCTCACTGTACACTCATCCAATCCACACCATGGAAAGAACTCCAGATATCTTCTTGGACAGCTGGCTCACTCCACTGTCAGACCAGGCCTTATTTACTGGGACTTAAATTGATCTAAAATAAGGAATTTATCTAACAATGCTGCAGTGGCACCTTCCCAGAGCAGTATAGGCAAACAGAGAGAGAAAATTGACCAAACATAGAATTTGAGTTGATTTAATAAAACCATTGATGGGCCTACTCTTTTGCCTGATTTGTCTTTGTTTTGCTTTATATATCTGTTGCTTTGCTTTTTTCAGTTATTCTCTTTATCATGCCTAAAGAGAAAGTAATGAACACAGTGGAGCTACCACAGACCCTCCAAATCCACGCAGGCTTTAATACATCTATTGTTTCAGATGGAAGAAGTATCCCCAAGCTTGCAGATCAGAGCAAAATGTTATGGGGACCAGTTTCATGTCTCTGCTCCTTTGCAGAATAATTTTTGAACTGAACCTGGAACTGAAAACCTTTAGTACATAATATTCCATTAAATAGCTCAGGAGGGGTGCTTGGAAGCTACGAGGTTGATTAGAGAGACAATTGTTCTTTCCTTCTGCCTGTCCTTGCCATGACAATA